GATAATGTGGAACTGCAGCCTGCTCCTTTCAATAGCACTCAATGGGTAGATAGAATTTGTAAAAAGATCTTATTTTCATTTGTAAAATTCATAGCTCTTGATTTATCATTCGTAAGGGTAAGTACAATTCCAGCTACGATTTCCTCAAGAACTAAAGTAAGGAGAAACATCATAAAGTTGAACGGAGCAGGGAAACAAAAAGCAGTATACTCCCAAAGCTTGTATATTTACACTGAACATTCAGCTAAATTAGTACAAAAAATAACACAGAAGGTTTATTCCTCAGGACAAATGAAGTGGGAGAAGGCAAAGGTTGGCTCTAAAGTAGCTTTCCGCCTCCCTTGATCCTGGAGACAGCCAGAAGCTAAGAGATACCCAAGCACAAATCGGAGCAGCCTGTTCTTACTTGCACTGGCTAGAATTAGCAGTGAGGGATTATTCCATTGACTAGGAATCAGCAGGGCACATCAAATTCTAGCCCCAACTCTTCTGGCTTCTCTCATGACACATCTCCATCCTGGAATGCTAGCTTGCACTGTCCACCTTCCTTTACGTAAATCCAGGTTTCTTCTAACTTGGTAATCCTTAGGTTGGTTTAAGATCTTTTGGTGTCGCTGCAGTGATCTGAGGGGACCTTATCAGGACCGAAAATTCTCACCCAGAATGTTTATGTCAAAGGTTTCATATCCTTAACTGGCATACTGATGTTTACAATGTAAATTAGACAATAGCAAGGTACTGTTAAGGTAGTCATCTAGGGGAATCATCAAAATTGCTCAATTTGTTGATGAAGGCCAACATTTCAACCAGTATTTGAAAGCATGCCTGAATATCTCTGCACACAACTAACTGTCATGTGAAATATGGCTGTGCTCTCAAATACTGTGGATGAAATTTTGGCGGTATGTAGAAAATTTGGTCATAAGAATGTGGATTTAGATAAAGAGGGTCACATTTACAGAGTGACATACAAGAGTGCACAAGCACAGGAATTGAATTATTTTCAGATGAACTCTTCAAGTGCTTTAGTGCAATTGAAAACAAGGAATTGGTGCTGTGCAAAGGTGTGTATCAGTGTTCCCAAACGTATGCACAATTTATTGATGGATTTTCAACAATAGCAAGAGACTTTTTATGTGCAGTTTTACACTGATCAATGCCCTTTTGATGATTAACATATGTCCCCTTTTACTCGTGCATTCATTTGCATTATCATTAACAACTTAATTTCCTTCCATATCAAACAATGACCTTTGAACCAGGAAAAAAATCAGTAGCAGGTGAAGCTTATTTTCAATTCCCTTGAAATCAATTTGCTGTTAATTTCAGATGAAAATAGCTTAACAAAAAAATGTTTGTGATTCCTCACAGGCCTTGCCTATACTTCTGAGATTTACTCCTCCAAAAATGTTAAAAGTCTGAATTTTTGTTTGAACTCCCAGGGCAAAAATAGCATCTTTCTTCTCTTCATTTTCCCTTCAGTACATCCAGAGGATCTTGTGGTTTAAATATGCCCACTTTGCCATACGTAATTGTATAACTTTGGACAAGTTATTTAACCTTTCTGCACCTGTTTTCCAAAGAGTAAAATGGTAATATTCATCTACCTCACAAGGTTGTTTACAAGTGGCTTAATTAACATATGTAAAGCACTTTCCTCAGGTTGTATATATTAACGTATATACATCAAGTATTATTATTGTAGGTTGCGCTGATATGATTGGCTAAGACTATTGATCATTTTTATAAACTCACAGTTTTGTCTACACTATCAGGTGTCAAAAATCAAAAAGGAGTCATATAAAAAGTGGAAACTAGGACAAAGTACAAAGGATGAATATAAACAAATAACATAAGTATTTAGGTGCAAAATTAGAAAGGCGAAGGCACAAAACAATCTCAGTCTAGCTAGAGACATAAAGGGAAACAAGAAAACATTCTACAAATATATTAGAAGCAAGAAGAAGACCAATGACAGGGTAGGCCCATTGCTCAATGAAGAGAGAGAAACAATTAACAGAAAATGTGGAAATGGCAGAAGTACTTAATGACTTCTTCGTTTTGGTTTTCACCAAGAAGTTTGGTGGTGACTAGATGCCTAACATAGGGTATGTCTACACTACCCTCCTAATTCGAACTAGGAGGGTAATGTAGGCATGCCGCACTTGCAAATGAAGCCCGGGATTTGAATTTCCCGGGCTTCATTTGCATAAAGCCGGCCGGCGCCATTTTTAAATGCCGGCAGTTCGAACCCCGTGCCGCGCGGCTACACGCGGCATGGAGTAGCTAGTTCGGATTAGGCTTCCTAATCCGAACTAGCTGTACTCCTCGTGGAATGAGGAAATTTAAATGACTTTGTTTGTATTTCTCGTTCTTATTATACATAGGGCAAGTAGCACAGCCAATCATTAAAGTTGCTCAGTATCTCCCATAATAAAACCCTGTATTTCAGTTTCTTGTAACGTCACCAAACTTTTGAGCTGAAATTTTTAATGCTAGATGCATGCCTCAGGCTGAACAATTCTGAAAAATTTCAATGAAAACAACTCAGATGTTTCTAAGAATAAAGTTTTACAAAACTATGTACAGGAGTACTGTGCCCAATTCTGGGATGAACTTGAGGAAAGATATGAACAAATTGGAGAAAATCCAGAGGAAAGCAACAAAAATGATTAAAGGTCTAGAAAACATGACCCACAAGGAAAGATTGAAAAAAAAAACTGAGTTTGTTTAGTCTGGACAAGAAACAACCAAGAGGAGACATGATAACGGTCCTGAAGTACATAAAAGGTTATAAAGAGGAGGGTGATAAACTTTTCTCCTTAATCACAGAGCACAGGACAAGAAGTACTGGGCATAAATTTCAGGAAGGGAGATTTAGATTAGACATTAGAAAAAACTGCTTCACTGTAAGGATAGTAAAGCACTGCAACAAATTATTTAGAGAGGTTGTGGAATCTTTGTCATGGGAGATTTTTAAGAACAGATTTAACAAACACTAGTCAGGGATGGTCTAATTAATACATAGTCCTGTCTCAATGCACTGAACTGGACTAGATGACCTCTCTTCACAGGCCCATATCCTGGATTTTCTGGGGGTAGGAGTGCTTTTTTTGTAAATGTAGACAGTAGGTTTTTTAAATATAAAGGAGTTCAAAATAGTCATGCAATAGGTATGCATAAGAGAGGTTAATGAAAAATTTCAGTGGAAACAATGATTGGTAAACTGATTTTGTTATAACATACTAGTAGTTTATACAGTAATAAAGTGGCAAGCCATAATTTCACTGCAACAAAAACTGGAATATTTTGGAATATTGAAATTACTTTCTGGGATCTTGATGTAATATTGTAAGTGACAAACAGTATTCCAAAATAGTTCAGTTTTTGTTGCAGTGAAATTGTGGTTTATCACTATTATAAGCATGATCAACTATTTCATCTTGGTGACATTAGTTGCCAATTGAGGATAATGTGTCTTGTGTCTCCATGACAGCGTTTAGTGCTGATTGGAGCTCTGGGGTGGGATAATCAGTGTGGAAGTTCCATAAACTCATTGCTAATTCATTTCTTTTGTTTTCATACAGCCAATTGGAAACTAGTAATCCACTTCATCTATTTCCTCCAAAATAGGACCAATCGGCACAGCCTGACATAAGGTACAAGGTACTCTTTGACCTATTAGCTCTATTCAGGAAGAGAACTTCCCTATACTTGTTTCTTGTGAAAGGTAGGCCACTTAAAATACAAGCTTCAGACTCATGAGAGGAGGTTCATGCGAAGTGTTCATGCGAAGTGTTTCCAGTGAAGTGTGCAAGACGGAAATATATAGTTGGCATTTTTGATGTAGACGTACTCACTGGGAAGTGAATTGAGACCACTATCTCATTCCACAAGAGTATATGTCTGAACAACTTTCAGATCATAATGACTTTTTGGCCATTTGATCTTGACACCAGCTAAGGAATTAGACCATGAAATTCCATAGCTCAATGCTGGTTTTATCCCCATCAGTATTTTTAAATGAATATTCTGCAACATTTCATAGTGAGAGGAATTCTGAAGATCATCAAGACATGTAAAAATTATTAGGGAGAAACTCATAGATTTCCTCATTAAAATGTCTGCCTCTTTGGTTACAAAGCTATTTTTAAATAATTTGCTGCAGTAAAGTTAGTATTACTTTTCAAGTGTGAAAAGACTTCTACTAAATAAAGGTGGGCCCTGGAGGACTTTGGAGTGCAGCAGAGCTTGTTTTCTTTATTGAAATTTGACCAAATAAAATGCACACTTGCATGCCCGTGTGAAACACACACCAAACCACTAGAAGAACATGAAAAACTTGAAGAACATTAATTTTGGTTTACTCAAACATTTTTATTCAAATTTTTTAAAAAAACCAACAACCCCTCATAGATTTCTTAGGTTCAAATCAACCTTCTCTCCCCCTTCAGGTTTGAGGGCCAAACAGGTTTGGGCTGCGAGGAGGTACTGGGAGCTGGCATGCAGCTCCTCTGGGTTGCGGGGGAGAGCCAACACCTGGCTCAGCTGGGCTGCAGGAGGAGGCAGGGAGCTGGTGCACAGCTCAGCTGGGCTGCAGGGCGGAGGAGGACTAGAGCAGCTGCGTGGCTCATCTGGGTAGGAGCCGGCATGCAGCTCAGCTGGGCTGGGGCAGGTCCGGGAGCGGGTATGCAACTCAGTTGGGCCAACTTGAGGGACAATGGGGGAGTGCATGCACTCCCTTTACGCACACACCCCCCCGGAGTACTGGCTTGCCTCAAATCCATGATTCTACATTATTTTCCACATGTTTAAATATTCTTGGCCAAATTATAAGCCTCTGAAAATCAAGTTGGCACTAGGGTTGCCCACTTTCTGACTGCAGAAAACAGCACTATCCCTGTCCTGAGGCCCCCTCCCCCTGCTCATTCCATCTCCCTTCTCTCGGTGGCTTGCTCTCGCCCACCCTCACTCGCTCATTTTCACTGGGCTGGGGAAGAAGGAGAGTATAAGGGCTCCGATTGGGATTGTGGGCTCCAGGGTGGGGCTGGAGATGAGCCGTGTGGAGTGCAGGAGGGGGCTATAGACTGGGGGGTGGAACAAAGAGGTTCAGCATATGGAAGGGGGTTCAAAAAGAGGTGTGGGGTGCAGGCTCTGAGAAGGAGTTTGGTGGGGGGGGGCAGTTCCAGCCTGGGGTAGAGACTTGGGGCATGGGAGGAGGTTCCAACTTGGATAAGGGGTTAGATCATGGGAGGTTTGGGGTGCAGGCTCCAGTCAGCACTTATCTCAGATGGCTGATGAAGAGCCCAGGGAGGGAAACAAGAGTTGCAAAAGGGAGAGGAGGAGCCAAGAATGGAAATACAGTCAAGTCATTGCAGAAAGGAATATATTATTGAACCACTAAAACACCCTTTCAAGTGTGTTTAAGGACCTGATTCAAATCCCACTGATTTCAGCGGAAGTCTTTCTTTTCAGTTAAGTGGGATTTGAATCAGGCTCTTAAATCCTTTATTAAAATATTGTAAAAAATAACAGTCGTTAAGGATTGTATAAGTTGATGACCCAAGGACTATAAGTTATCAGCAAATGCATCCTGTTTTTCTCATAATACCGCAAACAAGGGGTCTCAAGCTCCCAGCCAATGGCCCATCTCTGGCCAAAGCAATTGCACGAGCAGGCCAGGGAGCCCTGGCGGGCTGAGGGAGAGGAAACAGTCTGTTACTGTTCCTCAAGCCCTGCCCCTTCCTGCCATCGCCCTGCCTTCTCCCCCCACTGCACCCTGTCCCCACAAATACAACTTCAGATTACCAGGGTGCCTGTCACGAGGTGGCAGTGGCGTTTGGGGCTCCCTATGCTCCCAGTGGAGCCGAGAGGAAACAGAGCACACTCTGTGGGTGCACTCACTCCTCTTATCCATGGCTCCTGCCACTATGGGGAGTGCGGAGGGACCCAACTGCGGCTGCCATGCTGTGCAAGGCCAACTAGTAATCCCACATTCCTAATGTGCGCCAAGTCATGTGTAGATGTGCACTCCTAGTAGAAACACATGCTGCTGGCTGTGGTTGCTGGAGGTGTTCTTCTAATCATCTGGGCAGAATATGAATCTCTTCTGGGTGGCCGCCCAAGTGTTCTGTGTACACAGAACACTGCCCCCAGCCTGCTGGGACTCCTGCACCAGATTGTGCAATTGGTCTGGCCAGGGATGGCCCAGGGCCGGACTAAGGGGTGGACAAGCCGGGCAGCTGCCCAGGGCGCCAACCAATGGGGGGTGCCTGATGGCAGCTGTAAGGAGCGCATGGTGCTCCTCTTAGATGCCATCAGGCGCTGTGCAGTGTCCTTCCCCCCGCGGCTGCGGGGCCCTGCACGGCCAGGCATGGCCCACCTGGGTGGCCCTGGTCTATGCACCAGCAGGGGTGGCTGGGCAGCACATGCGCCGTGCATCTGTCCACGTGCCCCGGGGATGGGCTCGCGCATGCGCTGTGTGCCCGGCGGTGGGACCGCGCGCCCCAAGGGGGCAGGCTCGCGCATGTGCTGTGCTCCCGGGGCACCAAAATGGCTCGGGCTGGCCCTGGGATGGCTCATGGGCTGGGAGGTTGAGACTCTTGCTGTAAACAGTGTATTTAAATTAGAGCTGTGCAAAATTCAGTTCAATATGAAATTTTCTTTATACTACTGAAGTTCAGCCTGATAGTCCTTTATGTGAACAGTACTATTGACAGCTGTGGGAACATGAAAAATGATGAAGGCCAGGATCCACGAAGGGACATATGTGCTTAAATCTAGAAGTTAGGAGCCTAAATCCAGTTTTAGGTGCTACTATTATCCACAGAACTCCCCCTCAGCTACTGCCCAAATGTTAGGTACATAAGGTCACTCAGCACCTAAGTTTTCTGCAATAAAAGTTCTCCTCGCTCGCTCTCTAGGTATCCAGATTCACAACTCCTGCCTAAGCCCAAGAGGGATCCACAAGCTGGGGAAGATAGGGATTCCTCTGACTAACTCGTGCTTGTCTCCTTAATTTTACACAAAAAAGCTGGGCTTGGGTGGGATCTCCCTTCAATTAGGCTTAGAAAAAATAGATTTTTAAATTGGCAAATCTATGGGAAAATTTAAATAGATGTTATAAAATTTAAATTGCTTAAAAATAAACATCAGAATTATTCATTGAAATTATTTGGGCGGGATAAAGTTTTGCCAAATTGACTTCTAACCTTTAGCTGTGGCAGTGGAACAGTTTTTGGAGTGGAGGTGCTGAGCTGTGGCTTGGAGCAGGATTGTAGCTTCTGGAAGAGGGGACACAGACAGGAATAGATTAGCCTTAGTTGGGGGGTCGAACCAGCAGCCAGGGCCTGGAAAGGCAACAGAGCCTCCTTGTGTTGGACCCAGAGCACGCAGCCAGCACCCTGTGCAAAACCCACACCTCTAGTTCCTACACCCTTTAGCCCAGTGGTCACTAACCAGTAGATCAGGATCTACTGGTAGATCTTGGAGCCTTTGACAGATGATCCTGATTGGTTTGGCTGGGAGGCTGTCAAGTGCCGGCACTTCATCTGCCCCTCGCAGCACTGCTGCTGCCCTCTGCCTTGGAGCCTCCTGCTTGCTGTGCATGGCACAGGAAGAAGAAGAGGAGTTGCTAATGTCAAGGTGCTCCTCCCCCCACCCTGTACCCCATCTCCATAGAGCAAAGCGGGGCAGTTTTAGGAGTGGTACAGAGCCAGGGTAAGGGTGAGCCTGACTTAGTCCCCTGCACCATCACCCAGAAGCCACCTGTGGTAAGCGGTACCCAGCTGGAGCCTGCATTCCAAACCCCGTCCCCTGTCCTGAAACCCTCCTGCACCCCAAACCACTCCTCTAGCCCTGATTCCCTCTGTACCCAAACTCCCAACCAGAGCCTGCGCCCTCGTCCCTTCAGCTCCCTGCCCCAGGATCAGCTCAGAGCCCCTCCCACAGTCCAAATCCTTTAGCCCAGGGTGTTTTGCCCACAGCCTCAGAAAAGTGAGTGAGGATGGGGGAGAGACTGAGGATGGCGTGAGCGGGGTGGGACCTTGGAGAAGGGGTGGGAAGGAGGCGGGGCAAGGGTGTTTGGATTGAAGGTAGATCCTGGATTGCACTGAAATTCAAAATATGATCTTGTGCTTAAAAAGGTTGGAGACCCCTGCTTTAGCCCATAGGTTGAGGTACTTATTTATAATGCAGGTGGTTCAAGTTTTCCTTTGCCTGGATAAGCTGAGATTTGAACTGGGATTTGCCACCTTTCAAGTGAGCATTCTAACCACTGGGATATAGAGTGACTCTCACTTTCTCTTGCCCAGTGTTTCTTAAACTGCGTTTTGCAGCACACTGGTGTGCCACGAGGCAGTTGGAGGTGTGCCATGGAGAACAACAGAATTCAAAATGGCCACCCTTAAAAGGGCAGGTGACCCTTTTTTTCTCAATAACTTTCCCCCCAACCCTTTTTCCCCCCACCTTTTTTCTTTTCTTTTCTTTTTTCCTCAACAAAAAATCCTTGGTGTTCCTCATAAAAAAAATTATTGTTTGGTGTTCTTTGATCTTAAAAAGTTTAAGAAACACTGCTCTAGCCAAATTAATATTTAATTATTCAAGTATTTTAATTGAAGTGGAATACCTCCATAGAAGAGAGTGAGGGAGATCCACATCTGAATACCCCATAGCCAAGTGGCAGGAGCATTTGTGTTAAATGTAATCCTTATACAGGAAAACTCTAAATTAAATAAAAACAATCAGTAGTCCTGTAGCACCTTAGAGACTAACTAATATATATCATACATAGTATCATGAGCTTACGTGGCTAAAACCCACTTCTTCAGATGAGCTTGAAACCTTGTTTTTAAAGTTACAGACTAATGTGGCTACTCCTCTGAGACTTCTAAATTCAATAGAAGTTTTACTTAAGCAAATAAATAATGTCTAAACCTCAAAATATAGACCCTAAAATCTATACCACATGCTGCCAAAACTGATTTATGCACTTTACTTATAATGAAAATGACATGTCAAATTAAAACACTGTTTAGAGTACAGGTTGAAACTCTCTAAACTGGACTCACTGGTCCGACAATATCTGTGGTTCAAAAAGACCATGGATGATGCCAAACCAGGGAGTTGTAGTGGAGGGCCAGAGGCAGGAGCTCTGTGGGGGCTGCGAGCCCAGCAGGGCTGGCTGCAGGGGGACCGGAAGCCCTGCTGCCGGAGTCTGGCTAAACTGACGGCAGAGTGCCCGGAGTACCAGTGGGCACTGGCAGGGCAGCGGGCAGCCCTGGTGGGACTAGGAGCCCCGGCGGTGGGACCACAGGCTGCTGCAAGAGGGAGCCCAGTATGGCAGAGGGGCAGTGGCAGGGGGGAGCTGGTGGGGAGGCAGGCAGCCATCAGAAGGAGCCAGGTTGGGGGGCAAGAACTGACCTCCTCTGGTCTGGCAAAATCCCTTGTTCGGGACCATTCAGATCCTGAGGGTGCCGGACCAAGGAGGTCCAACCTGTACAAACTTAGTAATACCGCTGCATTACATTTTAACTATCCTATTACTTATTTACAGCATTAGATATGTAATAAATTAGTATTTGAATTCCTGTTAATTAAAGGTTAACAGTTGTCTTTTATACTTTGCACAGCTGTGAAAGTCAGCGGGATTTCATATGTTTCAAAAACTGTGGGCTAATGCATAAAATGTATGTTGTTAGTCCTTTTCTACAGCATTATATTTACATGAAATAATTGGGATATGTTGAATTCATGAGCTCCTGCATAAACTAAAGTCAACCAGAGAACAGATAAGTAATGTACACCAATTGTGTATTATTTTTGCCTCATGAAAGAAAAAGTTGATTAACATGCGACTTCCACAATACTACTATATTTAGATGATTTTAAGTCTGTTGATTACTGAAATGTGTGGGAGTTTTGAGATAGTAGCAGAATGATGACTTGGACTCATTAAAACAGAAGAATCTTTCCAGGCAGCTCTGTTGTTTGAACACAACTGAAATGCACGTGAATCAAGTGACAAATGCCTAATATTTATTATAGTAAAAGATAAAACATGATCCTTGTGTGAAGGGCTGTTTATTCCAGTAAAGTGTACAAGGAATTTACCTTATGTAGTGATTCAACACAGAGACTGATGTCAAATAATGTAGCAATTATTTTAGTGGAACAGGAACATACTGACACCAAAGGAACTCATTTGATTCAGTGATTTGACTAACATATAAATGATATATTGCAGACAGCTCAGGAATTCTTGGGACAAATCCTTTTAATTTTATGTGAATAGAACCACTGAGTTATAGGGATTATTTGTATGAGTGAAGCAAGCAAAGAGATAGGTCACATTTTGTAATTAATATGGAGGATTCACTTATGATGTCTGTATGGTATTTTCTATTTTAGACCAACGGCTTGAGGCCTAACATGAGTCTTCTACAGACTACGCTACATAAGTCTGAGTCTTTCTACAAACAAATATAATGCCTTGTCTTCTCTAAAGCTTTTTTGATAATGTCTTAACCACACTGTAAATTATGTAAAAATGTTTTTCTGCTCTTGTAGTATTACTATATTACATGGAATTTAAATGGCAATTGATTGACTTTCTCTCTGGCATTTGTCTACATAGAAATCTCACACCAAAGGGCTTGATCTTAACTGGAACTGAGCAGTTCTGCTCCTACCTGAGGTGAAAGTAAGTGGGTGCACCCTAATGCGCAGCTGAGCTGTCTGAGCTATGGCAAAAGCCAGCAGGGAGCTATTTAAAGATCTAGCAGGGACCTGGGATGCAATAGGACAGTACCTGTAAGAAATGTTAAGTTACTGTCACTGCTGGGTCCTCCTAACTTCCTTGGGAGCTGAGAGTTGTCAGAACCTTGCAGGAAGCCTTTAGCACTTCACAGCAATAAAGCACACAATAGGAGAAGTGTACGTGAAGATGTTTTATTTTGGACATGCAAACTAAAGACACGACAGTACAGCCTCTCTTTGGTTCAGATCAAAGGGGGGGGACTACTGACAAGGCACTTTCTTTGGGTTCTCTTCCACTTTGTTTTGGTTTAGATCAAAGGAGGGACTACTGACAAGGCACTTTCTTTGGGTTCTCTTCCACTTTGGAATTTACTTCCCCACCTACTAATCAAAAATAGCTTGAATTTAAGGACTATAGGGCATGATGCTTTTCACAGGCTTTACAGAACATGGTAGAATAAAAGGTGGTAAGCTATTGGAGAAGAAGGGTGGTTTCAGCTTTTGATTTGCTTTGATTTCTGGATGTGGGTCATACTGAATGTCACTGATTCATGTTAGCTAAGTTGGAGTGATCTTTTGAGGTTTTGTGTACTTTTAAATTATGACAGGGGAGCATAGAGCATAAAGGCCTATCTGTTTTCCATTTTAGGGCCCTTGGAAATATAAATGCTGCTGTAAGCAACCAAATATTCATTACCGTGACTTGTGCTTAGATAATAATGGTAACTCAGCAGCTATACCTAAGTAAATAACTAGGCACTTAAAGACTTTAGCATAAGACAACATTTATTCTTTTTTAACTATTAATGTGAATTTTTGTCTCCCTTCTTTCACTCTTAAGCGGCTGCATACTAAAACCATATAAGGCCAAATTCTGTTTCTTTGGTTTCTCTTACCCACAAATTAATGCTTGTCTTAATACCCCCAAATTGTTTATTTTCTATATTTTTTGTTTATACATCATCTAACACAATCACGTCCTGATCCCTGACTGTTGTACTCTGCTACACAATACAGGCAAGTTTTATTTTGCACCCACATTATCATCAGGTGGAGATCTCCAATCAACTGTCCACACAAATTATTCCTGGAAAGAACAGGAGTATTCTGGACAGAGAAGAATGTTGAGTGGCCATAGTGATTAGTGGATCAGCTTTCCAAGTGGAGTACCACTTGGAAACAGCTTTCGGTGGTGGAATATGAATATCAGTTCCACAGATGTGCAGGGACTGGGACACATTAATGATGTCCTGGCATCCATTTCAGATTGTTTCTATTCCCGGATTACATGAAGGGCCAGCCATAACTTGACCTATAAAAAGGTCTACTCAGATACAGATCTTTATAAGCTCTGGTACTCATACAGTGAGATCAGATTTGCTAAATAATTTTGATTTATTCTACATAAAACAATTTTAAAAATCTTAAATTGGTTTGTTGATCCTTTTATTTTGGTCTAAATTATGAAATCAGCAAGCTTTTGATAGACTTTCTTATTCAATCCATAGAAAAAAGGAATCAAACACAA